GCTTTGGGAAATTGCTTGCTTGATCATTAATCTTCGGTGGAGGTAGGTTATGATTTTTATGCTACTCGTAGTAAACTCTTAATAGCGAATGATATGTATTGGTAGTATTGTAAACCATGCTATATGCTTAATTGTATGCTTGCATGAATGTGATTATATGATTGTGATAAAATAAGCATGATGAAGCTATTGAATCCCAAATCTTGATAAGAACCTAATCTCTTGTTAATGATGATGCCTTGGTATAAAAGAAGGCTTGATGAACTAAAGTAATGAGATTGATGATGCCTTGGTAAGAGAGAAGGCTTGATGAATTGATAGAATGAGATTAGGGGATCGGGTGTCACGAACCGACACGTAGATTTAGGGGATCGGGTGTCACGAACCGACACGTAGATTTAGGGGATCGGGTGTCACGAACCAACACGTAGATTTAGAGGATCAGGTGTCACGAACCGACATGTAGATTTAGGGGATCGGGTGTCACGAACCGACACGTAGATTTAGGGAATCGGAGTGTCACGTTCCGACACATAGTAGTAGGGGATCGGAGTGTCACGTACCGACACAAGAGGAATAAAGATAATGAATCTTAAAAGGTGTTAATATACTCAATCTAATGAACCTAATTCCCAAATGAGTATGGTATTGAGGCGTGAGTCCTCATGTATGAACTTGACGGTACTTATTGATGATTATAGTACTTGTTGTTGCTACATGTTGAGTATTGTAGTTGATTTATGATATCACTTGACAAATATATTGCTTTCTATTTTGAGTTGGCCGATGATACTTACTCAGTACTCGTGTTTGTACTGACCCCCTACTTTAATGTTTTCTTCCTTGTTATTTGTGGAGTGCAGCAAACGGACCGTCGTCTTCAACTCAACCGCAATTCTAGCCAGTCTTCGTCACACCGGATCTTCAGGGTGAGCTAATGCTTCTAGCTTGGACTGGATCTTTTTCCTCATGTCTTGATGCCTTGAAGTTCCGGCATGGACTAGCTTTTACTTGTTTTAGCTTCTTAGAATACTCTTAGTTTAGTAAATTGATCATAGATGTTCTTGTGGTGATGACTTCCAGATTTTGGGAATAATGATAAGTTTTGAGTTATAGAAGTTGATTATTGATTTTATTAATGAGTTAAGTCTTCTGCATTACTTTCTGTTGATATTATATTGAAATGTTAGAGTTTAGATTGGTTGGTTCGCTCACATAGGAGGGTAAGTGTGGGTGCCAGTCGCGGCTCGATTTTGGGTCGTGACATTTCCTCTTAACATCCTTGGTTAATTATCAGTATAGCCACTTGCTCTACAACACTTTCAAGGTTCATCTCCTTTTTCCTTATTTACACAAACATAATTCAAGTTTTCCAGTAATTCCATTCCTTCTTAGGCCAAACTTTCATCACTTGAATTTTGATGTAACAATATTCACATTGATAGAGACTACCATTAAACAAAATTTCATTCTTGAAAAAAAATATTCCCTATAAATACCACTTGGTATATTCACCTTTTATTTTCAAATCAAGCTAGTGATCAAACTTTAAGTATTACAAAACTCCGTAATTACTAATAAAATGAATTCATTCAAGTTCTTATTTGTTATCTTACTATCAATTTCCATAACCATGGCTCTCTTTCCTTCATTATCTAGTCAAGAATTACACCTTGAAGCCTTAGATGCATCTTATTCGCGAGGAAAGACCTCTTTTCTTGCCCCAGAACAACGATATGTTGCAACCTGTGATAAATACCCTAGGGTTTGTGCTGCAAAGGGCAGTCGAGGGCCAGATTGTTGCAAAAAACAATGTGTGAACGTCCTCAATGATAGATCCAATTGTGGGAAATGTGGTAAGAAGTGCAAGTACTCTGAGAGATGCTGCCAAGGGTGGTGTGTGGACATATATGTTAACAAGAAGCATTGTGGCAAGTGCAACAATGAATGCGAGGTAGTTCATGCTCTTATGGAATGTGCAACTATGCTTAATTAATTAAGTGATTACACTTTAGGTGTATAGAAGTTAAATTCCAATCAATTATATACACTTAAGTAAAATGTGTTGGTTTCATGTAAGGGATTTCATTATTTGTCGTATGGGAATTAATTTATGTTTAGAATAATAATTTCATCTTTAGATCTTCTATTTAGAAGTTTACGTATAGCTATTTGTTTTTGTGTCCAAGTATATAATTAAGCAGACTAAAAAACTTTCTTTTTAGATGGTTCTAAATTGTAATACCAAAAAATTTCTAAACTAAGATCTAAATATTTTTTCATATGCATATAGACCGGATACTTTCCTAATGATGCATTGGTGCTAAGATCCAATTTTTAAGTGTGGTAAGTGTATTAGATGTGAATTAAGATCTAGAAATTCTCTAGCACAAAGTTGAGTAGGAAGCTTCCTTACCGATTGAGTTTCACTACAAGATTTTATTTGAGTCAACTTCAAACGATCATATATCTCTTAGAATATGCAGAGTTATGTGTCTCATTAGCTATCAAGTTAAAGGGTTACGAGTTTTCTTTCCAACACCACCAAATTTGCATCAATTTGAGTCCAGAGTAAAGAGTTACAATCGTTTTATAACTACAAATACTCCAATCTGAGAATTTTGTTCCCAATTTCCACGAATTGAAAACTACCTTCCGTGAAGCCATTTACGAGCAGTGGTTCTAGCTCATGCAATTGAACTTAAAGTTCTCGCATGAATTCCAAGAAACAACCAATCCATGAGTTGTATATCATTCTACAGACCCATGTATATCATATATATTAGTTATATATCAATGTTTTAAGATTTCACAAGAACAATATTTTGAGTTTTTTTCCTCACTTTTCACTCTTTGGTCTATCCCAACAGCTCCCGAGAGCTCTCTTAAACCCTACTAAGTCATGGTAAGTGTTTTCCATGATCTTAAAACATAAATCCAAAAATTTCAATAAGATTCAAATATCAAATCATCTTAAAACATAAATCCAAAAATTTCAATAAGATTCAAACATCAAATCCTCTTTCTATCTTTAGTGAATATAAAAAATTCAATTCTAGGATTTGAGAATTCCTTGAATTGAATTTTATAGAAAAAATGTCACGAATTATTCCTTGAGAATCAAGATAAGCACACACTCACAATTTTTAGTGATTTTGACTTCTAGTTATGTAGCCTAAGCAAGAATCTACCGTAAAAAAAACATGGGATTTTCACGAAATGAACTCAAGAATTTCAAGAAAAGACTCTTCATGTTAAAGTTCTTCTTCTAGATTTTTGTGGAGAATTTAAGTTAAGTAAGACTATCATAGTGAGGAACTAAATTCTTCTCCACGCCCTGTATCTACAATTTCAGTTAGTAAGATCAAAGCTAACTTTTTTACCCAAAGCTTGTGATTTTCAAATTGCTCTATTTTCCTATTGAATTGATTCTTGATTTTAGTATTGAAATTATAGTACTTCATATAGTTTATGATCTTCGATTTATGGTTCATGCTGATTTTACCACATGGATCCTTTCTAGCTAAAAGTTATTTGAAAATCTTGTCATGGTAATTTGTATGTATTGTTTTCATGAGTAAAGTAAGTTTCAAAATTTTAAAGAAGTCTTTCAAGAAAAAGTTCAAGTAAGTATATTTTGATTGAAGTGCATTATTTTAGAAACTTTCAAGAACATATTTTTCTTCAAGTGATTGTTTTAGAAAAATTCAATATATTTTAACATCATGATGCATATTTTCCGAAAGAAAGAATAGGCATATTCTTAAATAAAACATGATCAACTTTATAAAAAATCATAGTCAAGTTTTATTAAAGTTTAGTTCTAAAAAAGTATTAATAAACATAAACTTAAAATATCAATTTTTCAGTTTTTTTCTCTCTTAAAATGAAATGTCTTTCTTAAATTTGATATCATACAATTATTGAATAATATTACGTTATTTTGATAGTAGTATTTAACACCGAGTTGGGTAAGAGTTCATCTAATTCATTGTTAGGGCTTAGAGATTAGATCTATTAGTTTTGTTCGTTCTTTATCTTGACAAGGTATAGGATGACTCTGTCTACAGGAAAAAGACGTTGTACCATCATGATGCTCAAAGTGATGACTGTCAATTAGAGAGATTTTCCAAGGAAAGTGAAGTCAATATTATATTAAGTATTCCCTGTTATTGCATACATTCAGTTTTAATGTCTTGTTGTTAACGTACACATGCATGTTTTACTATTAGGTTGACCTTATTTTAATCTATCTTTACAGTTCTTTATTTAGCTAAGTATGTTCAGTTTCAACCAATTGTTTTATTCGACTATTTTACATGACGTACATTTTATGTACAGATGTTATTCGATGTTGAATCGTTTTATGACGTGGATTCAATTACTTTGTTAATGTGACAAATGGGTCCTTGTCCATGATCTTGCATATTCGAGTATACTACTTCTACATGAAACAACCCTTACAATCGCATTATTGGCTATAGATTGGTTTATGGAGAAAGCCTTACATAATATTTCTCGAGAAGAACATTATTACTAAAAAATTAGAGAAAAATGATGACAAAAAGCGACGGATTGTGTCGCCTGTTTGGTCAAAATCCACGGAAAAATGATGCAGTCAAGTTTGTTGCTTTTTGGCTTGACGCTTTTTAAAGAGCGTCGGACAACATCAGAAGACTACTTCGCTTTCTGTTTTTTTAATAAAAAATATTTTCTTAAATAATGTGACGCTGTCTGTCGATTTTTTTTTAGTTTTCCCCCCCTAAAAGCAACATAGTTAACAAGCAACCTTCACGTTATTAGCACGACGCTCTAACCAAGTGAGGTTATGGGCCTCAATATTGATTTTTAGCTAATATTAAGGCAAAATTATGCGGATAAATAAACATATACTAGTTAATTAGTTAATATAGCTATAGTTTGAATCAATTACAACTCACAACTTAATTAACCTGTAATTAGGTCGCTTATACATATACAAATGCAAATTATACATACATACATACATACATACATACATACATATACATACATACATACATACATACATACATACATATAC